ATCTTTGGGTTGAACTAATAAGGCAGCACGCACTGAAGTTTAACAGGGACTGCATCCGTCCAGATTTTTCAAGACAAAATTGACTTCTTTGTTTAATTTCATCTTCTTCATAGTAAGTCTTTTATACACACTTAAATTATTTCTTAAAAAAACAAAAACAGAGATTTTATTTCTAATATAAAATCTGTTAAAGTACAGTACTTACAGTGATGCTAAGAGAAAGATATATATATAAAAGGCATTCAGTGATGCCCATGCCATTCAGTTTGCTTGCATGAATGTAAACAGACCCCTCTTAAATGGCACTTGTACTGGCACTCCCACTAAACAGAAACAGTCCTTCAGGGTTGGCATTATATAACTTCTGTACAGCAGTGTGGGAAAGCCTGCAGTGCTTGCTACTGGCTGTACTGCATGCTTTCTCTTAGCCATCTTCTGTCTGTTAACCAGCACTTTCTGTTCTCTTTGAAAATGCCACCAAACTCTGTTCAAACATCAGAGATACACTACAAATATTGCACTGCATGTTGTACTGGGACAACACAGCATACATATACTCTTCAATTCATATGCATTCTGTCACCTCTTTAATATCTCTTCAGTCTCTTCAAGTTAATGTACTGTCGTTTATTTTCACATTAGTGAAGTAAGCTACTCTAATAGTAAAACTGAATTAATTGTTCATTTGATACATTTTTAATGATAGTTTCCATAAGTCTGTAGTTTCTTCCTCAGAGTTGCAAAGAATAAGGCCATACTGAACCTGCTTTCTATACACATCCTTGCTTCACAGAATTATGTTTTAAGTAAGAAAAATATTTGCCAAAAAAACAATAAATCATGAGAGTCTCCAGGCATTGTAATGGTAGCAATGAATCATAGAATGGCCTGGGTTGAAAAGGACCACAAAGATCATAGAGTTTCAACCCCCCTTCTATGTGTGCAGGGTCACCAACCACCAGACCAGGCTGCCCAGAGCCACATCCAGCCTGGCCTTGAATGCCACCAGGGATGGGGCATCCACAGCCTCCTTGGACAGATGTTATAGCATTGGGAAAGAAATGTAAAACATTAAAATAAAAAAAAAAAAGGTGTGATCCTAACATATCTGTAAAGATATAACTGTTGACACTTCAGTGACTCCACAAAAATGTGAATTTTGTTACGTGATGTACTTGATTTAAAATCTACTTCTACAAAAGTGAATTTTAAAAGTCTTTAATCGACGCAAAAATATTTTTTCATGTCCAAAACAGAGATTTACTGCCCAGTTACGATTGAAAAGACGAATATTGAACAGTCTATCAAATACAACGGATGACTTAAATACAAAGTCAGTTTTGCTTACAACTTCAGAGAATGAGCAAGACCACTCTGAAGCTCTTGCTTTATATAGGTGGAAAACACCTTTGACTGTCAGTTGTGTTAATGGAGGAAAATTTCTAATTATTCTCAACCTTGCCAAAGCATTTTTTTGTTTTTGAGATTTTTTCAAGATACAAGAACCATCACGTTTCTAGCACATAATGTAATTAATTTTTAAAAGCAAGTTTAATTAACTGGTTTTTGAAGTCAAGTTTTTAGTGAAAGGATCTATGCAATACTTATAGTTGAGTTTCAGTCTCCCACATAGTTAACAATTAGGGTCACCACTTATTATAATTACTTATAACACTGAATTTATTTCAGAAAGCAGGCTCTGAACACAGTGAGAGTTATTGAAGAGACACTGCCGAATACAGCCATAAAATGTAAGCCAGTTTCTCACGGTACGACATCTACAAAACCATGTCTTTGTGTGTAGGAGAGTATCTTCACTATCCAAAAATGCTTAAAATATTAAGGAGGCAAGGCAAACAAAAACATTGAAGATTTTAACATCAGTAAACTGACAATTGAAAGCTAGTGCTTTTGCAACTTTCAACTTGTTTTATCAAAATTAACCAGTCTCACTTTCCCTATTAATGGATGAACAGGACAATGCTTGGTGAATTTTGCTTCACAATAATAGGAAGAACTGAAATTGAAGGATCAAAAAGTCATATCACTATGAATGCTTGGCTGCCACAAGACAATTATCCCTGTGGTGGCTTTTCCAACATCTTCTGCTTCTGTACTTGGCACTGGTGATGATGCTGCACCTCAAGTGTTACGTTCAGTTTTTAGCCCCTCACTATAGGGAAAACATTAAGGCATTGGAGCATGTCCAAAGAAAGCCAACACAGCTGGTGAACGGTCTGGTGCACAAGTCTTATGGGGAGTGGCTGAGGGGACTAGGATGACTTAGTCTGGAGAAGGCTCAGAGGCAGCCTTATTGCTCTGTACAAATGCCTGACGGAGAAGCAGGGGTTGGCCTCTACTGGATATAACAAGATTTAAAATTCAGTAAAGATTTCCAGTATTACTGCTATTGCTGGTAGTCACAAAGTTAAATAATCAGTTCTTCCACTGTTTCTACCTAACAGAAGAACTAGACACTTGTTATGTTAAAATAATAAAGTGCTGCATGTACCTAGGCTACCATACTGTCCATATCTCAAGATGTAACTGCAATGTTAATAGAACAAGAACATATAGCAGGTACAGAGTTAATGGATTCCACTGCAATGGGCATTCTGCAATTTGTTTGGAGATGCATTACATACACAGCAAAAAGGTGACAGGAAAATGTGAGGAGGAGAGAGTAACAGCCAGCTTATAACCCTCAGGAAGAGGCTAACATGCATTAAATAAAAGTGAGTGGTTCCTATATTACAGGCAATTAATGATGCCATATTATTTTACGATACGGAAATAGTGCATATGTACGTTTAAAAAAGAAAAAAAAAGGTTTTCTTCTTCCAGCACATTCTACAAATAAGTAGATCTGGTTTAGTATACACTGTATCATGTCCAAAAGTGAAATTAAATTAGCAGTTCATAGCTAAAAGCACATTAAGTAACAAATGGGGAAAGACTAACTAGGTGAGTAGAGCTTACTCCTGCATTTCAAAGACGACAATTCCGTCACATCAGTAGAACTTGAAAGTCTCCAAAATGACAGATAAGTCATTTAGGATTTGGTCAAATTTTCCTACAGGAAATCTATTTCATTCACTTGCCACTGAATTTTTCATGGTCTTTTTCCCTTAGAAAACTTGATTTTCTTACTGCCTTCATTGACTGAAGAAAGCCCATTAAAATGTATTTCTTTTTACTATACTTCTACTCCATAATCAACACTCTGTATCTGAGGATTTTGCTGTGATATTAGTCATTTTCTGCAACAACTACATTGGAAGCACACAAACATCTCAGCACGTATCTGTTTGAGCACGCTATTTAAGAATTCTCCATCAACATGTTTGCTCTTCTGCGAGCTCCAAGAGAGCTGCTTTGAGCAATATTACATATACATGTTTGAAACAAAGTATATGTTCAAGTCCTTTAGAGGACTAGCCCACTTACTGTAACCACTTATTTTAACAAGTAACAACAGAATAAGCACAAGACAGAATATGTATCCTCCTTCTGTAAGATTTTCATGTGCTAGAAACAATACACACTTGCTCGGAAATACAAGGATATTATTACAGCTCTAACAGCTCTTTTCTTAAAATAGAAAAACAAATGAAGAACTTAATTGGTAGTTAACCATTTGTGCTGAAGATAAAAGTGACTGCAAGATTGGTTCATCTTCTGGTACATGCTAAGGACTCATTCTTACTAAATACATCATGTAGTCCAAACATGATTCGCAAAGAAAATGATCTCCCTTTAGGAGATAATTCTGTATAATTATAGATACCATTGCCTTCTCTACAATCAACATTTTAAATCTGTTACCTTTCTCCAGGTCACCATTTCACAGACTTCTTTTTACTTTTCTCAAAGATACAAAACCAGAAACGCTTGGAAACTAAGATTCCACTGTGGTAAATAAGCACCACAAAAACACCCAGGTTCATTGCACATATTTTTCTCAAAATCTTTGAACACGAGATGTTTTAGAAAAAAAAAACCACTCAAAAAAACATCTCTTAAATGTAGACAAAATCCAAGTGCAAACAGACTATTGAGCAGTACTGCTCCTAAATAAACTACTTTTCTCATTGCTGGTTTCCTACATTAATATGTAAGATTTTAAATATATGATTTCATTGTTTTGCAGTTTCTGTGTTCAAGATACATTAAACACAATGTTAAATTGAGAAAAGTTGGCAATCACACGCTGTTCTAGCAACTTACAGCACTAATAAATAGATACACAACTTAAAGAAAAATACAATATCACTGTAGCAGATCTACAAGAAACTCTGTCTGTGGTATGCCTGGAATTGTCTCAAATACGTGCGAGATAAAACCATCGCCATGACAATGGACAAACAGCTCACGGATGTGGTTGGAGGAAGGAGCACTTGGAGATACGATGGTCTCATTCTGGCCCAAATTCCCACGTTCAAGGAGGACAGAGTGACCAACTGACAATAATTGTGGACCCCAAAAACTAGCAGGCATACAAGAATTCCCAAGAAAAGGTGAGACTTCTGGATGAGCATTCTCACAGACAGAGGATCACCACTAGCTAGGTAAATGTTGGTACCTGGCCAGGGATCACCTACTCAGTCCATCTCTTTCTTTCTTTCTGCTGTTATTTCCCAGTCTAATAAAGCTGCTAAGTAACGCAAGGCTCTATCAAGTTGCATAGGTTAGCTGCAAAGCTTAGATAAATACAACTGTAAGAGTGCCAATACTTTTAAGGTAATTGCACTGTAGAAATTCTCATTAAAATTGATGATTGTGTTTGGACTCCAAGTGCTTTGCACCTTAATCTAACTGAAGGGATTTACAAATCTGGTCACATATCTCTCCCTTCATGGGTGGAATGTGATAATCGCATTTAACAAACTAGCCACTCCCTGGAAGAGCTACAAAGCAAAATTTATAAAGATAGAAAAAAATATCACGGAAGTTTTGGCATATTTGCTAGAGAGAGTAATAATATAAAGAAAGAAACTTACCGCTTTTACCTGAGAAAGAATACAGAGGATTCAATGGAGTGCTCAAAGTGTTTGGCAGTCTTAGTTTGGAGTGCGGTGACAGTGATGATGTAGCAGGAAGCAAGAGATTTGAGCTTGTCTGTAATAGGAAAGACAAATCAGAAACCAACGTGTAATTTCCTGGGTTACCTGATGCAATATCATGTAGAGAAACAATTACTCATTTTAAAGAATTATTAAAATATAGGAAAAAATACAAGACAAGCAGATGGCAAACAGCAATTTCTATGGGTAGGTTTTTTGAACATTTAGTTATGGAAAAAGTATTGACAAATACACAAAACAAATCGCACTTTTTTGGAGACAAAAATTCTCAAGTAGTGAAAAGCGTAAAAAAAAGTCCGAATTATCATCTTGTTGCATCTTAGTACATCAAAATTAAATGGCATTTATATACAGTTATAAACTGCAATATTTAAAATAACTTTTCACTTTTCAGTACTCAAACAATGCAACATCTAAGACGAGATTACATAATATTAGTCTGAGACCAAAAAAATAAGTCTTAAATCAGTCCTAACACCAAACTTATTTCTGCAAGTCAATAGAGTATACTTTATCCAAAATACTAGACACATCCTTCAAGCAAGCTACACAAAAAATACATGTAGTCATAATTTCCATAATAACAAAGATAATGTAGTTAAAATTTGATTTGCTGTGGTATTTCCTGGGATACACGAAGCTAGTGCAATGCATAAACCTTTCCCAAACCTTACTCAATACATTACCCCATAGAGGCTATGCAAAATATATGACAATCAGAGGTTTTCACATAATCAAATAAAGAATTTCACAATTTGTTAAATGTTTTTTCTAGCTTCCTTTGGTAAACTGGCCAAAGGTGAGGGAAAAACAGATCTTAAAATATTTGAAACTTTCCCCCGCAAAAATATTTGAATACTAAAATTTTGGGGAGAGTTATTTTACATTAAATAAACCATTACTGCTAACCCTTTCAAAAATCAAGCCCATTTCACAATGTAATATAGTCACTTGACGCAACTAAAACCCTACTATTAGAGATGCATTTTCTTAGGCTTCAGTAATCTTTAATCAGACCCTTAACCTTCATTTGGGGGCCAAAATATCACAGTGACGTTTTTCTAATTTTCAATCTATTGGCTTTTAAATTCTATTTAAACAAGTGGAGACAGCTAGAACAAAGAGAGTCAGAGACTTATTTCCAAAAGTGGTATAATTTGTCTAAGTATCATTTCTGTCATATCATAAACAGTTCAATGGGTTTCGATAAAAGTGGCCAAGTATTTGGCCCTTGGCAGATGTTCTGAGTTGAAGGTAATACAGCTCCAATCATGTACACTGAGTAACCTGACTGAGACACAGAGGATATCTGTTATCTCTTCTGGACACAGTACTCCAGAGGAGAGCCACGGAGATATCAGGGGATTGGAGCACCTCCCCTACAAGACAGGCTGGGGAGCTGGGCTTGTTCAGCCTGGAGAAAAGAAGGCTGCAGGGTGACCTCATTGCAGCCTTTCAATACCTAAAGGGAGCCTACAGAGGGGAGGGGAATCAACTCTTTGAAAGGGGTGATAACTGCAGGACAAGGGGAAATGGTTTTAAATTGAGGGAGGAAAGATTTAGGTTGAATGTCAGGGGGAAATTCTTTACAGAGAGAGCGGTGAGGTGCTGGAACAGGCTGCCCAGAGAGGTTGTGGATGCCCCATCCCTGGAGGTGTTCAAGGCCAGATTGGATGGGGCCCTGGGCAGCCTGGTCTGGTATTAAATGGGGAGGTTGGTGGCCCTGCCTGTGGCAGGGCTTTGGAGATTCATGATCCTTGAGGTCCCTTCCAACCTGGCCATTCTGTGATTCTGTCATCTCTTCTGCATTATTATATTAGACCTTAATGCAACTATATTTGGATACTATGTAGTAAAATGGATTTAACTGTACTGAAAGAAGCACCTGATAAAAACTGTACCCTCTCAGCAACTGCATATAAGTCTTAGGACTATACACCAAAACTGGACAGAAAGATTCATAGAATCCTTAGAGTTGGCCTTTAAAGGTTACTTCCAACTCCCCTGCAATGAACAGGGACATCCACAGTTAGATCAGGCTGCCCAGAGCCTGGTCCAGGCTGGCCTTGAAAGTCTTCAGGGATGGGCATCCACCACATCTCTGGGCAACCAGAACAATCAGTGGACATGATATAAAAGCATTAACACATCTAGGTATTAGTCAATTTAGTGAATGTCAATAAGCAGCAATTGTGCAATGCAAGTAGAATGGCAAGGACTGTTCTGAACAACACCAGAACCAATCTTGTTTTCGCAAAATTTACATACGTAAGCAATTAAGTTTCATTAATATGAAGTTTTCTCTGATACACACAAATACAGTAGAAAGCCATTAGCTTATGTCTTTACTCAAATACAGAAAAGCAATCTTGTTATGAAAACATGTAGAGCAAAGTTTCCCAGTATTTCATCTCCTGTTACTGACTGTTAACTCCAGTGTGGGCATTTCTGCAGGAAGACAAATTAGAAGATCAGTCCCTTGCATAAATTCTGTGATGGGCGCACATTATGGTATTTTTTCCATCATCAATGGAACAAAAGTATATTTTCCAGTTAAGAATAGTCATGAAACTTTTTGGAATTCCTCTGACAGCAAACAATTAGTTCCCAATGCAACAGGGAATAAAGACAGATTAAATGTATCAGCCTTTGGTAATCAAACAAAGCAAGGCAGAGCAAACTATTTAAAAATAGCTCTTAGAAACACTTCTCTGGCTCATCCCAGAGAGGGGGGAGGGAATCAAAAGAAAATTGTCTTGATTGTGGTGCTTGAATCATATTATGTGAGAGATACAAAACACACGTAAAATATACCTGTGCAGCATTTAATTCATTTTAATGAATTTGTTTTTTATTTTCCTGTTTATTTATTATTATTTTTCCTTATTTATTTATTTTCCTGTTGTATTGCCCAAACACTCATTACACATGCTTTTAAATGAAATGCACTAGACACATACATTAGAAGTGAATGTGCTCCTTCAGATTTAAGAAAATCAGCTTTTTAAAAACACAAAACAAGATCTAGCTTACTATTCTCCTCCAAGTCCTTAAAAGCAAGAGGAAAAGGAAGAAAACACTATGTTTATATAAAAGTGAGATTTAACAAAGTTTTAAATTATACGTGTCTGATCTCCTCATTTTATGTTTTTGTTGCCCTTGTTTTCTATGACATACATTGACTATATCATGTATTTTATATGCAACCCAGGACAATTCCTCTTCACTCAGGGAGGCCGAGGCAAGACAAAAAGTTGGACACCTCCATTTTAAATGAAAGAAACCTGACAAGAGTGATGCATTCCTCCCTTTAATAGCAGGGAAGTTCACTGCAGGTGAAATATACAAGACTGCCCATCTGAACTAAATGCAGAATACGAGTTTTTATGACCTCAGGGCCATGCTCACAAGTGCTATTTAAATCTCATAAAAGGTCCGGAAAGAAAAAAAAAAAATTGCTGACAATACTTTAACAGAGAAAGGAGTCATTCAGCTTTAAAATGAGAACTGATGATTCACATTGGTGTTTCTAGGTAAAGTATGGTGTTTTACGAAAAGTAATGAATTAATTTTCCTACAACAGACACAGAAGGCTACAGTGAAGCAATTTTTCACTTTTTTTTTCTTTTTTTTTGAAATTCATGCTGAGGGAAGACATTGCTAAATACCTTTACAACAACGAGCAAAGTTGGCTAAGATGACCAACCATCAATCTACTTATTTTTCACAACAGACTTTGCTTGCTTCATGCAAAAACCGCAGCTTTATCAAAGACACAGTTTGCTACTATCCTGAATTGAGTAAAACTAAGAGTTATAACATTTGTGTAGTTTTTGTAGCAATAAAAGGATACCTAGATAATTTTTGCCAAGTTTTAACAAAGCTGATTTGCATTGTTCTTTTTTATTTTTTTATGCTTGGGAAGCTCTATGCAAATTATGCAAATAAGCACTTTCAGTAGAACTAGTTTTTACATTAAAAGTGAATTCTGAGACAAAAAAACAGAATACTGTAAAACTTCACATGCTGACAAGGACCTTTTTTTTTTTCATAGGAATGCAATTTTAGGGTCTTTCTAATCAATAAAAAGCAAGATTTAAATATATATATGCTTACTCGCAAGTCAAATCAATTTGGCCAGCTCTATACCACCTCTTACTCTTTCAGTTTTGTTCAGTACAGGCAAAGCCATTGTCTGTAGCAGATGTGTCTGAGCTCACAGCAATTATATATATTCCATTCCTCAGTAACGCCACAGAGTTCCTGCATTTCAATGACAGGCTTACCGCAAAACCTTTCTTCCTTTTTAAGATTTTGTTGTTGTTGTTAAGAATTAAAAGTATTAAGCTTCTTTCTTTTAGCCACAAAGAAAACCAAATTCTTTGTTCAAGGTACAACACAGTTAATTCTAGGCTATGCTATGCAGCTTCACACAGTCATACTCAGAGTATGATCTTTCCTGGTCTGGAGAAAACTGGTATTTCTTCAGCATACAAACATGCATGGAAATACATATGATAACAGAACTGGCCAATGGTATCAGCATAAGTAGTAAAAACTAGATCTTAGCACAGTAAAACCCTGTAGGCTATACATAAACTGTGGACTCCATCAAGGTTGGTTTTGATTCCTGCTATCAAAAATACGGTGGGATAAAAAAAAAAATCCATGACTTTTCTTTACTAGTTAAAGAAAACAAATAACCTTTGCATGGAAATGAAAACAGATGCAACTTGCACTTCATTCAAAATGGACCCAAAGATTTTTATGTCTCCTCCTTCTAAAGAAAACAGACAACAGAAACTCTTTGACTCACAGATGCTTAAATATGTATAGAAACCAATTCCTCTCCATTTGATGGTAAAAGCCATTAGGACATAATCCTAAACACAGCATGCAGATTCAGGTAACTCTGTAAATACTCAGACATTTGTAAACTCCTTCCCAGCGTTAATTCACTGTTACCAAAGCATTTGCTTAGACTCTAGGTTTTTTCCTACCACATATAAATTTTTTCTAGGTAGAACTTCTGATTTCTTTGCTTTTCCAGAGATGTCCAAAAGGTGCGTTTTGTTTTTTTTTTTTTTCCTCCCCTGGTGAAAACTTTATTATCATCCCAATTATTCTAGACCACAAAAAAGTGAATTTCTAGAAACCAGTTTGCATTTCATTACGTTGCTTCTAAAATGAAGCACATAAACAAAAATTGTAATCTAATTTATGTTGATTAGTCTTCATTTGCTTACTCCAGAGATTAACTGTAATGCACATTTAGAGAAAGCAAAAAAAAAAAAAAAAAACCCTGACAATTTCCTCATAATAAAGCAGCACTTTTGAATGTAAATCCATAGTTAATCTCTTTTTGTTTGAATAAGAAAGAAATTGCCTACTCCAGTTAACAGAAAAATAAAAGGAATTTGCAAAACCTTATTAAAAATCCATTGAGGTTTATTCTTACACATCACAGAATCAGCATAGAATGGCCTGGGTTGGAAGGGACCTCAAGGATCATCAAATTCCAATCCCCCTGCCACTGGCAGGGTTGTCAGCCACTAGATCAAGTACTAGATCAGACTGCCCAGGGCCCCATCCAACTAGGCCTTAAACATCTCCAAGGAAGGGGCATCCACACTCCTCTTGGTTTACAGTATTTCAGTATTTGAGCCACAATCTGTGTTCCTCCCTTACCCAACACGTTGAAGGAAAGTGAATTGAATCAGTGTACGCTTATGGTCTTTTCTTGCATAAAATGTCCTTGTTAACAAAAGCTGCTTTCTCCACGCTTTGGTGATTTGGAGGCAGTTTGCACAAGCAGATATAATCTGTTCTCTTTTACCAGTATGAGTGAGCCAAGCTTTCTCTGCTCTATATATGATTTGAATAAAAATAACATTGCTCAGATATCCCTGTCATCTTTGTTCAGCAGGGAGAAAACAAACAGTGAGTGACATTTTTTTAATATTACACAAACTTCAATGGCAAGAAGACTAATTTTAATAAATAAAATTAAGGGATCAATCAGCAAAATCCATAACATTAAAATGCTTATCATCATCTTAATTCATCCTCAGATAAAATAGTTACAATGGCTATAGATTTATGCCAGAAAATGACTGCAATACATTTCTCATGTCTGACATACTTTTTATACGAAGTGAAAGTCATGGAAAGAAAAATAGTACATACCAGAAGTATCAGATATCAAAATACAGTCATACAGCTTAATCATCAAAGTTCTATATATTAAATGTAATCTGAGGTAGAATACTTCTGGATGTTCTCCCAGTACCTACTCTCTTGATGAATTCGGGTGAAGTGATATGGTCAAAGAACCAAAAAAAACCCACTAAACAGTTATTGGTAGTTCTGTGTATAGGAAAGATTTCCACATACTGCACTGAAAAATCTGAGTAACAGAATTTTGGCAATCACTTCTATAACATTTTCATAGTATTTTTTACACAGAAATATGCCATGAAGATGACTGGAAAATCCAAGCATCCTTAATTTAGAATCATTCATATACTAAGAGATGAGGCAGACAACATATAATTGATTCCAGGATTAGTACTACAGAGTATAAACAGATGCTGTTGTTAAGATTTTTTTTTTTTTTTCTCTTTCAAGTTATTACATGGAATTTTTGACACCCCCCCCCCCCAAAAAAAAAAAAAAACAAAAAAAACCTCACAGCTCGGATACCTCTACAAGAAGCACTTCTCTCCATATTTACATATCATATATTACCCTCATTATGAAAAGATAGAAACACATATTTTGATTGATAGGCGGAAGTGAAATTTTAAGTACATAAACACTGAAAGAAAAGCATTTAAGTGATCCTTCTATGTCTGAAGATGGATTGTTTTTCTATCAAAAACTTCTGAGAACATAAATGAACCTTAGCATTAATTCCCCAAGGCAGAAATACGTAATACAAGTGCTGCTCCAAAATCAATGCCACCTATTTTATTGCACTGGCCCATGACATCAAAGGTGGGGGTTAGTGGTATGACAGCAGAGGTTGAACCTTCCCACCAATATTCTGTTACATGTTGTTGCTGTGTGACAGATGGCAGCAGAGGGGCAGTCTGACAAAATTTTATCTGGCATGGAAGTGTATATGAAGCAAACATGTGTTGTGTTACTGAATTCCTCCATGCAGAAAAAATTGCACCCATTAACATTCACTGATGCTGAATTTTTATGGAGACCAAACAGTGGGTGTGAGCACAGTGAGGTGCTGGGTGGTGAGTTTGATGAAATCAAATTGTAGAAATAAGTCAGGAAAAATTTGCAATATTACTGCTATTGCTGATAAATCACAAAGGTTATCACTTATCAAATCAGTAGTCCACTGTTTCTATCTAATGGAAGACTTAGACAATCATTATGTTGAAAGAATAAAGTGCTGCAAGTATCCAGGTTCTACTTTTGCACAAGTGGAACTTCCTTACTCACCCTAGCAGATATCAGATTCCTAATAAGGCTGACAGATACTGCAGCTGCATACAATAAATGTCCTGTTTCTCACTGGAAACGAGGTCCCTACTGGTTCTCCTGATAGACTGCTGAAAATATAAGCATCACAAGTCCTTCAGATGAGAAGAAATTTCTACCCAAGACCTCAGTTGTTCATAAATCTCTGCAAGGAAGGTCTCCAAGTTCCAGTAAACAACATTGCTCTGGGACAGACATCAGACTGGATGTGGTCTTTTTCAAATGCCATCCTGCACTGTTTAGAAACCCATGCAGTGAAAGGGCTCAGATGACCTTTCTAAAATGTCCCTAATATATGGTCCATGAGCAGAGGGCTTGGAGGATGCTGTCCAAGACTTTGGTCACAATTCTGCTAACAGTGGACTTGTTCATCTTGAACTGGTCTGTCATTTATAAATGGGAGGTTAGGATTATGACAGTGGCTGAAAGTCATCCTCTTAAACACACAGTAAGTTTACACCGTTTCATCTAACTACAGGAAACACGTAGTGCAAAATTCTTGACAGAAGATCTCAGCGTACTTTACAGAAACCGATACTAAAAGCTCACAATCATCATTCTGTAGTCTATCACATGACTCTACTAAAACAGATTTGTCTCTGAGTACCCAGAATTCTTGGATCAAACTGCTGCAACAACAAAAAAAAACTCCAAGAGTTTTTTTATTATCCCCATCTTCTTCCTCAGATGAAGACATGCAGAAGAGCAAGAATCTTTTCTCCTTGAAAGTCTTTCTAAAGAATTTTCCCCAAATGCAAAATTAGACGCTTGATTATCTTCATACTATGTCTCTCATTTCCCATAATAAACTTCAAGGCACTAGGGCTCATTGTAGAGGAAGAACAAAATAGGCAAAACATAAACAAGACTTGCTTACTTATATGTGGCCAGATGTACAGATAGCAGTCACATGCTACCACTAGCCATGCTCTATTATGGCATTTTATAATGAGGTCCACTAAGAGATTGCAGTCCAGAAATCACAGGGCTGAGATAGCTTTCCTTTGGACAGTTTCAAAACACAAGCATAATGGGGATGTATAGGCCAGAGAACCAGACTACATATAATTCTAATGTAAACCTCTGAAATTTGATGAGAATAGCTACAGGGTCCTCAGTAGCAAGTACCTTAATCTAATGACCACTATTATTAATGCAGACAAAGCCTAAGGCTACGTAAAAATCAACATGCACTCAAAAGTACTTAAAGTGAAAAATAATACATGGAAACCCAAATGAAGTTCGTGTAATTGTGAATATTAATTATAACTGCACAGTCTTGAAATATTTTGCCTTCTTGTCAAAAGTGAGGTAGCCTCAAGTTGGTGAATTTTGCTTACTTAAATTTATTGTCAATTACAAAAGCTTTTAATTACCAATTCAGATACTGAGAAACTACCGAGGCAGTAAAAAAAACACTAAAAGAAAACATCTCTCCTTCCTCTTTATCTGCCTCAACTTCATTTGAAACATCTCTTCTTCCCTTTTTGTAGTCTCCAGCTGCCTTATTTTAATGCTGTGTTACACTTAGTCCCTTTGGTAAAGCAATGCATAGTGCAGGAGATGGGTTAGTGACCAGCAGTATTTCTTGGTCTGTCACTGTTTCTTACCCTTTTTAATAGCTCTGGTGTGGGTGCTCTACAGGCCAAAGTCCCCTCAGGAGTTGTACCTGCTCCAGCAGGGATTTCTCACGGGTTGCAGTTCTTTCAGGGATGTACATACTCCTATCTTTTCTCTTGTGTCCTCACACACCTTCTCTTGTGCTTCTCTTTGTGCTTTTTCCATTATCTCATCCTGTAGCTCTATTTGTGCATGGTTCTATGTTTCTTCCTCAAATCCTTTCTTCTCTATTTCCAAATATGCCTCCTCATGTGCTTCCCTTTGCACCTTCTGCTGGTGCCTCCTGCCCCTTGCAGCTATATTTTTCCTTAATGGTTTTCTAGAGGTACCATATGCTTTTCTGATCATTTCCAGTTTCATCTTGAAGTGGGTCCAAACTGCTTTTGTGGAGCTTACTGGAAATGGCTGCACCCAACAGAAGGCAATTCATCCCACACAGTTGAGCCCTACACAGTCAGTCCCCTGACATGAAACTTCTGTTTCTTAGGCCAAACAGAGTTCTATAGGTGACTAGATGAAAAGAAATAACAACCAACAACCTTCCTAAAGTTTAGCTACAGTGATCCAGAGAGTAGATAGCGTGAACAGCAATGGGTGTTGAAAAAATCCATTCCTAACCACCAGTAATTGATAAAAAAAAAAAAACACAACAAGAATTAAGCTTTATGTGATTGATCTCTTCTAAAGAGTTAGTCAGAGGTGCAACAACATTACAGAAATATGTATTCATTTCTGAAGAGATCTCAAGACTATACACGTTTTGCTACATAAGTTAAGAATATGAACTTTGAGAAAAATGCATACTCCTGCATTAGAAAAAAATGACTTACCATTACAGAATCAAGTTTTTGTTTCAGCTTTTGCATTCGCATTGATGTTCTTGCAACACTGGCAAACTGATCTGCTGGAGACATCACTGAACTTTTTTGCATAGGTATTTCAGAAAAACTGCTACTAATTTGCAGGCCTCTTGGAGAAGCTGTGCTAAGCGATGAGCTGAGATCCTTTACAAGTTCAGCTTCTTGTTGTGCAACTGTGAAAACAACCAATATTAACGTGTCAGGTGAAGACTTACATTGTCAAGAGAAAAAAAACTGTTCAGTGACCCCTATCATTTTGCCAGTCACATCTTCAGTGAAACGCCATCAGAATTTGTACTAATAGTGCTAAGGAGAAAAACCTCAAAAAGACATGAAACTTTCCCCATACACTTCCTGATCACAATGTCTCCCTTCCGTTATCTTTGTTCGATAACCTTTCATTCTGCACTCATATTATGGTATTGCTGATAAACAGTGGCACTCTCCACAAAGAAACACTGACAACGGGAAAATATTATCAAAAGGAAGGAATTATACAGCTTGCAGTAAGTTCAAATAACCTTGTTACACCTGTTCTGAAATTTTCTTTGTTAGACACATGTATAAGTACAGGAGTTCTTCTTAGGAAGCAGCTGACTCATCTAGAACAGGATACTTTCGATGGAAGCTGTGCGCTCTCTCATTTAAACAAATAACATGAGTTTTGTAATTTTTACACTGTGGTCTCAAGTCAATAAATGTTAATGTTTAATTTTACATGTAACTTCTGTCCAAGATATTTATAAAACTTCTGGTGTGTGTAAAACACATACTGTTGGAGTCTGAAAAAAATGCATCAATGACTAAAATTAATATTACTGTATGATTAACTCTTTCAACACTGCAGCAATAAGACTGTTTTCTGAAAGCAGTGTGTGCTTTCAGCCAGAAAAGGAACAAAAAGTTAGTAACAGACAATGTAGAAAAAACCACAACCTATGCAAAATCTTACTGCCACCAGTGACTTAGTTAAAGTCAGATGATACAAATAACTACCAGTGTGATATCAGTGTGATCTCTAAATATACATGCACACACATTACTAGCTTTTTAAAGATTCACTGCCTACTGAAAAGTACTAAATTTGTTTTAAAGGAATCCTTCAACTGACAAATTTTCCACTGCTCTCTAGAATGCATGTACCATACTAGATTGAAGTTTGGCACTAAATATTGACTGCAAAGTCATTCCGCTTTACTTTCCTGTAAAAAGTCAAGTGGTTCAATAGACAAATAACTTGAACTGTGAGATTTGATATGAGTAATCTCATTAGTGCATGTTATTTAAAAAGCAGTTATGAAGTCAGGATTAGCTTTACAAACCTACAATCATGACAAATGTAAATTAAACAAAAAAATCTGTCGGAGATGAGCAAGATTTAATGCTTAATTCTCATTCACATTATCTACTATCAAAATCTAATAATACCTCCTTAATTGAAACAGTGACACTGCTAAAGCTAGCTACAAAACACAAAACCAGAGAAAAGTGCAATGGACAGTCTGGATTTTGTTCTGCAGACCACAAACTCACAGCTAGCATTTCTGACCATCTTCTCTTTAACAAGTAGATAACATGAGAAATAAACATTGTCTGCCACATATTCACATCAGAAGCTTAACATTAATTAAAAAAATCTATATGATCTCATATCAGTTATCTTCTATGTTACTATGAATTATTTAGTAACAAAGCCTAATATGAAATACTGAGAATTTTTAAGCTGTTCACTAATTCTCAGAACAATGTTATTTTCTGGCTTCATAATCCACCTTGATATTGACAAGGGGATTTGAAGTAATACAAAAGGTGCTCTGAAAATAATGCCTCCTATTCTATTATGCTGGACCAAGATATCAGAGGTGGATGTTGGTGGTATTGCAGTAGAGGCTGAACCTTCCTGCTAACATCCTGTTACATTTTGTTGCCATGTAACAGACAGAGGGGCAGTCTGACAAAATGGCATCTGACATGGAAGTGTATATAAAACAAAGCATGGAATGGAATTCCTCTGTGTAGAAAAAATGACACCCACTGACATTCATCAACCAATGGCCTCCTGACTTGCCTCAGAAATAGTGTAGCCAGCAGGAGCAGAGAGGTGATCACCCTCCTGTACTCAGCTTTGGTGAGGTTGCACCTCAAATACTGCATTCAGTTTTCTGCCCCTCATTAAAGGAAAGACATCAAGCCCTGGAGTGCATCCAGAGAAGGACAATTGTGCTGGTGAGAGGTCTGGAACACAAATCTTATGAGGAATGGCTCAGGAAACTAGGATTGTTCAGTCTGGAGAGGATGAGGCTCAGGGGTGATGTTAATGCTTTCTACAACTACCTGAAAGGAGGTTGTGGTGAAGTGTTGCCTTCCTCTTCACAATAACTAGCAATAGAACTAGAGGAAATGGCCTCAAGATGCACTGGGGAGGTTCAGGTTGGACATTTAGAATCATAGAATCACCAAGGTTGGAAAAGAGCTCTAAGATCATGTAGCCCAACTTTCACCTACCACCAATACCTTTCCTAACATCCAACCTGAATTTCCCCAAGCACAACTTGAAGCCATTAACTCTAGTCCTATTGCTATTAAAAAAAATTTCTTCTCCAAAAGAGCAGCCAGGTGCTGCAACGGGCTGCTCAGGGAGGTGGTTAAGTCACCATCCCAAGAGGTGTTCAAGAAATGCTTAGACGTGGAACTAAGTGATATGGCTTAATGAGGAAATAATGGCGGTAGGTGGATGACTGGAATGTAAGATCTACTTAGAGGTCTTTTCAAACCTTAGTGATTCTATGACACTTGCTGAATGCTTACAGAGACCAAAAGAGCAGACGTGAACACAGTGAGGTAGTGAGTGTTGCGTGCCAAATTCCAGGTGGCCAGACATTGTTGTTACACCAGAAGAATGTCTAGATCAGCTCATCTGTGTGAACTGACACATTACAACCAGGAAACTGCATATAGAACTGCAGATCAACTTCAATGAATTGAAAAGAATGGTAGTCATATTTGAATACTGCAAAGCTTATGCCACGTGGGCTCCACACGTGATCACACCGGAAAAGAAAGATTTCCCTATGCAAGTTTGTCAGGAGCTATTGAACTAATACTAGGTAGAAGATGACAGTTTCCTGGATTACATCATTACCAGTCAAGAGACACAGTGTCACCAGTCTAAGCAGGAGTCAAAACAGTTGTATACCTCAGCAGGTGAAGTGATGTGCATTGTCCTGTGGGATAGTAAAGGGGTAATCCTTTTCCTGTACCCAGAGAAACCATGAACTCTGACAGCTACACTGAGATACTGACTAAACTGAATGTTCAAACTTAAGACAACCTTTCTCTTGCAACACAACAACAGGCCCCATACCCATCTGAAGAGCAAATTGCCAATCTTGGCAACTACGGACTGTCTTACCACACTCACTGTATAGTCTGGATTCGGTGCATTCTGACTTCCATATGTTTGGATTGATGAAAGATGAACTGGGTGGGCAACATTTTCCAAGCAACAGTGCAGTCACAGCACTTGTGAATCAATGGGTCACTTCCACTGGTGCAGATTTTCACAAACACAGAACACTGGTGCTTGTTCATCAGTAATGAAAATGCATTGCTAATGCTGGTGACTAAGTTGAAAAATAAGTGTTCTGTAGCTGAGAATTTGCTCTATCAAATAGTGTTATTGTGCTCTTTGTACCTGTTGCAGTTTTCATGGAAATAAACAGGAGGCATTACTTTCAGAGTGATCAGTGTATTTGCACAATGCTGCCTAAATGCCAAGAAGTGCTGTTAGAGAATCACACAATAACACATCATTGAAGTAGAAAGACTTCTGGTATCTAATTCAATTTCCTGTTCCAGCTTAAGTCCAGCCATGTTTTGGTATCTCCCTGAATAAGGATATTTACTATCATCAATTGACTTTTTTTTTTTTTTTTTTTTTCTTCTTCTTCAAAAGAAGTACAAACACTATGCAAATAACTACTGAAGTAAAGAAAAATGACAGAATCACAGAATCACAGAATTGTAGGGGTTGGAAGGGACCTCCAGAGATCGTGTCCAACCCCTTCGCCAAAGCAGGTTCCCTACAGCAGGTCGCACAGGTAGGCATCCAGGCAGGTCTTGAACATCTCCAGAGAAGGAGACTCCACCACCTCCCTGGGCAGCCTGTTCCAGTGCTCCGTCACCTCACTGTAAAGAAGTTCTTGCGCACATTTGTGCAGAACTTCCTATGCTGCAGTTTCCGGCCGTTTCCCCTTGTCCTGTCTCCACTCACCACTGAAAAGAGTCCATCCTCGCCATTCTGCCCCCCACACCTCAGGTATTTATAGACCTGGATCAGGTCCCCTCTCAGTCTTCTGTTCTCAAGGCTGAAGAGACCCAGTTCACTCAGCCTTTCTCCATAGGAGAGATGCTCCAGGCCCTTCACCATCTCAAAATTCCATATTCATATGGAATACACACCATATTCAAATTACATGTATATGTATAAAGAGAGTTTGTACTGTACCTTTATAATCATAAATATATACAAGTATTGGTTGGTTTTGACCAAAGGCACAAAATGACACCATATGTTCATGTGGATGAAAGGCAACGTCACGAAGTGGAGATGTGAAGGAAAGTTCAGAATATATTGCCACTTGATCTCCTGCAGAAGTGAAACAAAGTTATTGGTATCATGGAAATGTATCTGATACAGCTGAGTAACTGCAGTATTTTGCAGAGTGCCAAAACACTTGAAGACTTTGTTTACCTTTTTGAAGTAGGTAATGATTCTGAAGCTGTAAGCTAAATTATTCCTACGCTATTAAAATAGAGTCAAACATTCAGCTGAACAACTAAAATGATATATTACTGTAGGATAGAAAAAAAAAAAATCAGGTACTTACAGAGTATGCTACTTCTTGAATTGGTTAAGGCTCATATTTTTTAAATGTACTGACCACTACTCTAAATAAACATTCTTTATATAATTTCCTTATTGAAAGGTATTACATGACAAAACAAACAAAAAGCACTGCAAGCTTTTGAGTTATTCAAGAAGTCAGAAAGGTTAGAGGTGTTGCAACAGCTACAGGAAACCCCAGAGGATGCATCAGGTTAGCCGAATTGTGCTGTTCTCTTAAGCAAGTTCTGGAAAGGTGGTGTTACATAGCACATGTAATGAAATAAAAGCTTGTGCTTTTATTTCACCACTGATATCTATCTTAGTTGTAGATGTGAACGTTATTAAAAAATGAAAATTTTTTAATATTAATAAAAAAAAAAAAAATTAAAAAATGAAATAAAATTTGTGCTTCAGATGATCACATTGTGTACATTCTGTGTGAATATATACATGGTACATTAAGTAAGAAAGAGTGAAAGCTGAATGAAAATATATTAACACAGTCTCTCTCTCCAGTATCATATTTATCTACTTGTATTAAGTTTTGAGACAAATCATGTAGTGGCATGGATGCAAGCTGATCTAGTTGGAAACATGGAAAGAAAACCAAAATAAAACTGTTGGCTAGCTACCAGTTTTAAATGACTTAGCATTTTTCCTTTTAAAAAAATTCTTCACATCATAATCAAGGACAAGTTTTTGTCAAGAAAACTAGAGAGCGCTCGTTACCTACTGCTGGGTTTTTTTTTTTTGCTATTACCTCATACAGTCAAGATTACAAAGTCTTTATCTTTTCTCATCTAGATATATTCCAGAAATATTTTGGTAGTAAAGTTATTTTAAAATTATTAAGTCTGAGGAATAATTTATGAATTTACTCCAAAGGCCTAACACACTCAATCTCAGATCAGCCCTGGGAAATGAGAAACGTGCTGTACAACAAAAGCCTAATCCCCAAATTAAAAAAGAAAAAGCACCAACAACCACCCAAACACAAATCAAATCAAAACAATCAACAAAATAACTGATTTGACTTAAAACATTTTTGTGTATTTCAAGATGCTTATCTGCACGCATGAATTGTGGAATTGTGCAGCTCGGCTTAAGGTGCTCCACTCCTGCTGAATACCACAAATTCTATCTCTGCCTATTTGTTTCCTCTAAAGAATTAGATATTAGAAATTAATGACAACTACTTAAAAGATGGAGCTAAGGCTCCAAGATTTAAGAACATCTTACTGATGGTTTCACCTGATATCAAAAGCGTTTCAGTAAAGCTTAGAGAATCCTTTCCTCTCAATCTTGACAAATTCAGTTAAAATCATAAGACAATTACCTGTCTCTGGATTCCACACATAAGCTTTTCCATCCTCGCTTCCAGAAAAAAGAAACGTGCCACATGGTGTTAAAGTGCTGTGAATCTTCTCTCTGTAATTTGTAGCACCTATATACTTCTTTGTAGCCAAGCTGAAAATAAAGAATAGTCTGTAAACATAGAAAATACTTCCATTTTAGACAACTTCTTGTCTCAGTTCCTTCCTGTATCTCAGAAAAATAAACAGTGATTCTCAAGTAAATATACGAGCACCCACTGCTTGCTGAGTGCAACTCTTACCCTTCATTTTCCCTACTTTTTTAATGAACTCGATATTACACATGTATATTTTCATCTTTCATTAAAAAACAAAATGTATATATTTACATATAGAGAATAGATACAGATATAGGTATTCAAATTTTCTTGATTCAGGGCTCCAAAGCAAATGTGGAAATTAGTACTATTATTCCAAGCTCTGCCAAATATATTTTCATTATACTTTCTGAGTTTAACTGCAACTCAGTAATGCATAAATTTATCTAGCATCTCCCGTTACACTTTTCAGGCTATTATTTACTTCATTACAAAAGCAGCAGAAGAATCAACAAATTTTAGACAAACATCTTTTACTGTTGATGTTAGTATTTTAATATCATTTTCCTATTTAAGAGTAGGAATCTTCATCACTGAGAAACTACTGGTCAGCATAGTCATAATGATCTAAAAATGAACTAGTTTGTTAAATAAGTTGTAAGCATCACATAAGACAGAACTGGCAAGAGGATTTAAACCAGCAGCCCAGCTTGCAAGAGACCTCCAACATCACATACAGCTAGAAGAGGTATAGAAGTGCAAAGTGAAGAAAGAAATTATATTGTGATGCAGATTTTGAGGCAAGAAAAATAGTTATAGGCTAAAAACAGCCCTCAAAGAGGACAGTAATTTTTAAAAGGTTACTGCAGAAGCAATGGACATATGCTGGGAGAACTGCAATGTGATTTATATTACAAGACAGAGCATTACTTTTAACAATATTCTGAATAAATATACCTGAGATATGATTACGTTTGGCAATCTTTGGATGCTTTGAAGATCATATTGCAAGAACATATTTTCCCAAGCGAGAGTTTAGGTTGTGTGAACAAAAAGACAGTATCTCTAAGATGCTCTATATGATGTGAAACTAACCTGTATATGAAAGAAACCCTAATGTCCGAAACAAAATGCTGATCACATACCTGAGTGACAGGACAGCATTGTCCAAAAAGATAAAAATAAAGTTGAAAGAGGACAGTTCAGAACAACTAGCCGCCAAAGTGAATTGTGCTGATCTGTGACCTCCACCCCCTCTTTTCTCATGCACGGAATGAAGAGTTAATGATGACGTGCAAACTTATCATTCCTGGGTATCTGACTCTGTGGTTTATTGATAGATTTAAGCCAGTGTAACTGTGGGCTGTGGTCAAAGCAGTAGTCCTGCTGCTAACCTCTCCACCCTTATTTTCCCAGGCTCTAACTCATTTCTCTAGTGTATTAGCAGCTATCAGATGAGTTAGATTAGATAACTGATTTAAATTAATATTAATCATTTGCTTTTGTAGGTTGATTTTCAGCTGGATCAGTTCACTGATCTGACTTACCCTGCAAAGATCTCTAGAGCTGATAAACAGAAAATACTAGGAATACATGGCTAAAGGTGTGCTGTATTCTACCGATAAGATGACTTAAAACAATTGTGCAATTGCATATCATGTTAACTCCTTATAGAGATTAAATATGCATCTCCAATTTTCTCTCTGAAACTAAATTCTCTTCATGATTCTGAAATGGTTCTGATAGGACATCAACATCAACTTTAAAAAAAAAAAAAGGCTACAAGTTATTTCAGTTCATCTACAGATTTCAGGCTTTCATTGAGTTTAACCTACTAGCACAGTAATTACAATTTACCACTTACAGTAACAAATAAAGAGTCACTTTTAGGACTAGAAAGCCTTCAGCTAGCTCAAACACACAATCCAATACATCCAGTAGTGAGATCTCTGGAGGAAGTAGGCCATGACAAGTTTCTCATGCTGCCACAAGCTGAAATATATGATATTCCACTTACAACCTATGCTTTTTTTTTCTTCATACTTTGAAGATGTACAAACACTAGACCATGCTGCTTACAGAAGTGACGGACTTTTATTCTTTGGAGACACTCAAAACACAATTGGACCATGCCCTCAGCAACCTACTCTTGTTCTTTGATTAGTGGGGTTGAGTTAGACACTCTTCAGGTCCCATCCAACCTTACTAACTCCAGTGATTTTGTCAATCTCATTTCTTGCAATCTATTAGTAGAGCATTACATTCACAACTATTAAAAGAAGAAAGTAATCAAGAATTAAGTTTAAAAAAATATCACCACCTACTCAAAACAACCATAATATGTACATAATTGCATTATTCAATATATATGATGACAATCTTCATTACACTTTTCCAGGCACTTCCCAATATGAAACTGAGAGAAATATATGAATGTTAAAATTTCAAAGTTACTCTCAGGCCTAGATTTCATTTCTAAAAGGGAATGCAATCTTCAGGAGATTAGAGTGTTATTTTTCATGCTGACTCTGGAGCTTAAGACATCTAGTCTGTTGTTAGGACTGGGAAAGTCAGAATTGGAGCCAGGTGACTCAAGCTTCGGGACTATTGAGAACTGTCTGTTGTATACTTCAGTAGTCACAAGCCAGCACTTTTTTGTTTTTTTTTTTTTTTTTAAAAAAAAACAACCCACCTCTATTATGTAGATGATTTTCTTTGTGTTACTGATCAGTTTTAGAACAGCTTGTAAAATTATGAGCTTTTTGATATTTTTTTAGAGTGATACATCGTATATATGATAAAGAGAAAAAATATATTCCAAGTGTTTTCAAGTAGTCTGTAATAGAATAAATAAGAGTAAAATTCACAATGTCTGCTTTCTGTTCTTACGTTAAACGAGACTTAGTTTCCCTTTTCTGTGCTTGTAATATTGTGGCAAAGTAGTGCACAGCTACACCACTTGGTGGAGTTACACATCCTCAGTGTCAAAAAAAAAAAAAAATTACTTTGATTGATTTATAATAAAATCCTGCAAAATTCAATTTCAGTTCTATAAAACAGATGTTACTGCATCACTCTGTTCCATGTACATTTGATGTGCATATGATGGTATCATATGATGCCCCGTGCCTGGAGGTGTTCGAGGCCAGGTTGGATGGGGCCCTGGGCAGCCTGGTTTAGCATTAAATGTTGGGGTTGGTGGCCCTGCATGTGGCAGAGGGGTTGGAGATCCATGATCCTTGAGGTCCCTTCCAACCCGGGCCATTCTGTGATTCTGTGATTCTGTGTGATAGTCATTTTTAGCAATTTTATTCTAAAAGGCATACCCAACCTCACACAGAAGGCCTACAATACAACAGTGTTTTGAGACGATTTTCCAACACTAATATTTCTAACCTTTAATTACTAGGACATCTTTCTTCTTCACAATCATACATCTAGCAGTTTTATGGAATCTAATTTCTCCACTAAGAAAATTTTAAAATAAAAGTAACTATACAGTAATACCCAAATCTACTTACATTCTGAGATCGGTAATTCTCAGGGTACTGTCTTTGGCATGGATTAATAAACGTCTTCCATTTGGATGCACCTCCAAATGATTTATTGGAGTTCCTTTAAGATCATTTTCTTTTATTTCCTACAGAAAGATGAGAAGAAGTTGTGTTTTAATACTCAAGTTTGTAAACATTATTATTCTTTTTTCTCTTCCATTGCTCTTTTCCTGCTCTCTTCACTCTATTCGGTTAAGGAAAATGTTTGATTCTAGATCCCAAAGCAATCAGCTTTTCATAACCACAAGGCAGATTCTATTACTAGTGAGCTTCTGAAACACAGCTGATGACAGAAACACTGACTGAACACTAGGCCTCAAAGGTATTAAAGGTGACTGCGCTGTGTTCTCTAGTGAATAAATCTAATGAATTCACATATATCTGTTAATATGACATTATTAAACCTCAAGAATGTTCATGTTTTATATGCCAAAATTAAACGTGTGAAATAATTCAAAAATGCTGTCAATGAATCACAACATGATTTTGTATTGTTAACAAGTTATTTCCAGTTAAACAATGAATTCTAATCAAGTGACTAGATTTGCAACACTTCACATAAAAATTACAGTGCTAGTTTAAGAAACCTGTATACTTTATTAATTCTCCAGTGTTGAAACAGGCATTGAGAACTTCCTTTCACAGACGTATCCCAAACTATTATCAGTCCTGAACTATCTCCTGAGAACATGTGGAGCCCTGTGAAATAAAAATATCGTCTCAGAAAACCATACAAAAGAACAAATAAAGACAAGGAGTTATGAACAAAAAGAAAGCTTCTATTATTTTCAGGAATAGGCAAAAACAAATTACTTCACTTTTTGCTATGACATAATCAGTACAAAATACATTTTGCTTATACTAGATTTAGCAAATAAGTTAGACACTAGGATGCTAAAAATTTTATTAAATTCATTCATTTTCTATTCATATGCTAAAAATGAACATTCATAGCTCAGTGAGCGTTACAGAGAATCATGAGTTGGAAGGAACATTTAAAGGTCACGTAGTCCAACCCTCCTCCAATGAACAAGGACACCTACAGCTAGATCAGGTTGCTTAGAGTCCCCTCGAGTCTGTCCTTGCATATCTTCAGGGACAGGTCACCTACATCTCTGGGCAACCAGCTCCAGTGCTTCACAACCCTTATAGATAAAAAACAACAACAACAAGAAACAACACCTTTTTCCTTATATTCAGTCTCAATCTTCCCTCCTTCAGTTTGAAACCATTTCCTTTCACAAGGTTTGAAACCTTGACCTTCCACAACAGATCCTGCTGAAGAGTCAGTCCGTTTTTTTTTTTTTTTGTTTTTTTTTTTTTTTTTTTTTTTTTTTTT